TATATATATATATATATATATATATATATATATCATGTCTTGAGCAGTTAAAGAGTTTCAAGACGGCTTTTGATTAAACTGTATGTTATCAGTAAACTGCAGATTATTGTGCATGCAGTTTATGCTTTCACGGTTATTAAAGGGACGTAAAACTGGGAACAGCAAAGTATGAAAATAAGTAGCGCGTAGTAGATGGTAACTTTGAAAGACATGAATAGGTATACAATGTAGTTGCAGTGGCTCTAAAAATCATATGAATTATTTTGCAAAAATATACGTTCTTCAGATTCGTTCACGCTGCACTTTTTAAAATTTATTTCAACGAAAAGAAAAATATCTTTACTGCTTTTAGTAGGCATCATAAGGTTTTTTAACTATAAATTACAGAAATTTTAAATTTGATTCTCTTGCTTGCAGCATCAGACAAGATCACATAGACTAGCAATACATAATGAGAACGGACGATGTTCCGTAGCAGGTATGTAAAGTTGTTTAACAGTCTTCATAGCTTTTCACATCTAAGTATGTTACAATGGTTTTATAGTTAAAAAATTAAGATTAATCATTTCAACATGATAATAGATAGAATACGTAGCTGTTCAGTGATGGTTATCAAATTTTTACGATCATGTGATACTAAAATTGCAAATAATCTTCAGCAACGAATTATTTAAGGAGCTAGTCGAGAAGTTGCAGATGGAAACTGAGACCATCGCAGAATTTATCCGGTCGTCAGCTGCTCGGTGTCCTACGACTGACAAATTTTCGCCACTAATGCATATAAAATTTATCGTGGTGTCTTACTCGCCAATTTAAAATCTCTAGGCTACGAAGAGGTAAATTCGTGGTGATTTTCTTTTTTGCGAAAGTACAACGGCAAACGCCTATTAAGAAAAGGAAGTGAATTTCAACTCACTGAAATGAACTGGAATTGGGATTGCATCAAGACTGAAAGGACCCATAAATAAGGCAATAAAATCTTTTAAATCACATATTGTTTATGTTTGTACATGTGTGTATGCATGTGTGTGTATGTGTGTTCGCGAACAATGTTATTGCAATTTCTTATGTTAGCATTTAACGAAGTTTCGGTTCGCAAAACGAACATTACTTATAAAAATATGAAATAAACAGCATTTTTGGTGTGCGATGAGATATATCTTACCTTTGATAGTTATAGCATTAAGAAAAAGAACTACCATTGTAAAATACATCAGACAAAGTTAACGGCCTCTCACAAATGTACTCACGGTGCAATGACTAAATGCTTTAGAGAGCTAGGAAGGAAGTACGTGTATGATATGTATGATAGGAAGTACATGTATATCAGAAAGCACATGAGAGGTATTCGTTTTAGCGATATTAGCAAACATACTTTTGTACCATGTTCAATTCCAGGTAGAAATAAGCACTTTAATCATACATTTATGTAATTGCAATGTATCTCTTCGACATAGAAACCTGTAGCAATGCTTACGTAACATACCAAACGGGAAATAAGGAAGCACCACCTATTAAGCAGAATATATACACTTATTGCATAGTAGCAATAAAACTCTAGCAGATATGCACGTCACAGTTTCTATGGGTATTTGTGGAATACGTTGAAAGCTTTGAAAGAGGCTTTCAAATTTGAAATTAAGAAATTACAGTTCCTTTGCTCATTCAGAAAATGTCGAATTTATTGTTCATTAAGGTAATCATGTATGATTATCTTAACCATGTATGATTGGAAAATATAAAGAATCACATGCTCTTTTATCCGAATCATTTTCTCTCCGTTGGTAGTTCACTCAGAAAACGACTTCAAGAAAATGACCCCAGAAAATGACTTCAATAAATAACAACCAATCCCTACATAAGTTGATCTATGGTGAATTTAAAAACTTGGTTTTCGGGTTTGAATGAAAGGGGAAATCAACATATCAAGAAATATTATCTGAAATAAAGCAAATATTGAAAGGAAAGTATAGAAATGTTGAAACGAAGGATACTTAATTATAACTATACTCCTTTTAGCTGTCCAATTTGAGGAGAGGAGGGAAAGAACAAATCTGTTAGAATAAATCTGTTAATTTGTTAAAAAATTTTCAAGAGATGGAAGAAAATCCAGCAAAACAGGCTGACTGACCGAAAAGCCTTCAGGTACGAAGTTTTGTAATACATAAAACTTGAAAAGGAAGCAGAAAGCTGAAAATGGATGTATCCTTCCTCCCATCCCTTCTGTAATGTTGAAAAGCTTTTTTGCGCTTATATGATTTGTTATTAGTTTTACCTAAGCATTTATGTCTTGGTCAATTAATGCTTGACATTTCCTGGTTTCTCTCTTTTCTCGTTTCATTGCTACCGTGTTTTTTCGAAGTTTCGCTATCCTGGTCACATAGTTTAGATGGATTCTGAAATTCAAGGAAGAATCTCGAATATTTTGGTGTTGAAAAGAATTAAGAGATCAAATCAGTCTGGATCGCTTCCCTAGTTTAAAAGACACTAGAAATCGCACAGCATTCAATGTGTCTGCCCAGACTTACAGATTCCATTTTTCTCATGGTAGCAACTCTATAAAGTGTCTCATCGTCGTTAAGATAGCAAGAACTTTATACCCCAGAGAATTGAAATTCGATGTGTGTGGCACATGTTGATAGCTCTGTCCAGAATTGTAGTTTAGACAGAACTACCAGCAGTGTTGGTTATTATTTAATAATGAAATATCCCTTCTTCGCTTTTCTCCCAATATCTCTAAAATTAAGAATCGATTTTATCGATCTAAACGATAATCGAACAGCTCCTTTAAAGCATTTATTTCCTATACGACAAAGATATCTTTTATTCATTAATTCTATTCAACCTTCACTTATTATTACTTAAATATGGTACACCCGATGGTTTAGTGTAGCATGTTTCTTGACAGTAACAAAGCTGGACAATGACGTAAGAACATCATGGTTCACTTGAAAGAGGCTTGCCAATGTTTATTTTGAGAAGAACTGGCTAACAACTTCAACTTGAAATACAACAGAGAAGACAGTTTGTATTCCTTGACAATGTAGCGAATA